TCCAGAGATGCAGTTGGGAGATGGGAGAAAGTTGTAGAAAGTCAACCATCACTGCAGCCCTCCACCAGTCGGGGCTTTATGGCAGAGTGGCCCGACGGGAGCCTCTCCTCAGTGCAAGACACATGAAAGCCTGCATGGAGTTTGCTAAAAAACACCTGAAGGACTCCAAGATGGTGAGAAATAAGATTCTCTGGTTTGATGAGACCAAGATAGAACTTTTTGGCCTTAATTCTATGTGGTATGTGTGGAGAAAACCAGGCACTGCTCATCACCTGTCCAATACGGTCCCAACAGTGAAGCATGGTGGTGGCAGCATACTGCTATGGGGGTGTTTTTCAGCTGCAGGGACAGGACGACTGGTTGCAATCGAGGGAAGGATGAATGCGGCCACGTACAGGGATATCCTGGATGAAAACCTTCTCCAGAGTGCTCAGGACCTCAGACTGGGCCGAAGGTTCACCTTCCAACAAGACAATGACCCTAAGCACACAGCTAAAATAATGAAGGAGTGGCTTTACAACAACTCTGTGACTGTTCTTGAATGGCCCAGCCAGAGCCCTGACTTAAACCCAATTGAGCATCTCTGGAGAGACCTGAAAATGGCTGTCCACCAACGTTTACCATCCAACCTGACAGAACTGGAGGGGATCTGCAAGGAGGAATGGCAGAGGATCCCCAAATGCAGGTGTGAAAAACTTGTTGCATCATTCCCAAAAAGACTCATGGCTGTATTAGCTCAAAAGGGTGCTTCTACTAAATACTGAGCAAAGGGTCTGAATACTTATGACCATGTGATATTTCAGTTTTTCTTTTTTAATAATAAAAAAATTCTGTGTTTTTCTGTCAATATGGGGTGCTGTGTGTACATTAATGAGGAAAAAAAATGAACTTAAATGATTTTAGCATATGGCTGCAATATAACAGAGTGAAAAATTTAAGGGGGTCTGAATACTTTCCGTACCCACTGTATATGTGGAAAAAGATGGTTTTCCACTTGAATTACTACTTGTTAGTTTTAATGATTGTATCTGCAAAATGTCATCTCACAGCGTGTGTTCAGTGTTGTCTTAAAGTGAGTGTAGTCATGTCACTGTGATTTTTTTTAAATTCACTAATATCCAGTTGCAGCTCTACTTTGCCATTGTTTCAGTCACAGCTACAATCAATGTAACTCGGCACTTCCTGGACTAATGTTTCACATTAAAAGCCTTTTATTAGTCAAAGGTTATACAGTAGTTTTTTTGTTTCTTTTGAGAAAAACACCTGCAGGACTTGTTTCCTTCACTGTAGCTTAACAGCACAGTAGCTGCAACTGCAAATTACCGATACTGCTGTTAATGGAACACCCAGAATTAATGGTATTTTAATGTTTGCTTGCTGTTTGACAATGTGGCCTTATGGACATAAAGCAGACTGAATGACTCAACAACTGTGGCCAACAGCTACATGGGACATTTCTCACTGCTCTGGCCAACAATCCATGCAACAGGGACACTATTTCTAAATGACGTGTTCTCCTGCACTGTCTTTTTATTAAGCTAATATTGGCCGATCTGTCAGCCTGGCTCTAGTGTTACTGTTGTTACCAGTGTGATTTTGGGAGGTCAGGTTTGGACTGAAGTGATCGGTGTGAAGTCGCTGGTCACCTTGGATGAGAATGATTTACAATGTCATTTGAATGGTCTGAACAGGTATGACTACTGCTTTTAAGCTAACGGTTAACCCCTCTGTGTCTCTACAGATCCCCCAGATCAGCTACGCCTCCACTGCTCCAGAGCTCAGCGACAACACGCGCTATGACTTCTTCTCCCGCGTGGTTCCTCCGGACTCCTACCAGGCACAGGCCATGCTGGACATCGTCACAGCACTGGGCTGGAACTACGTGTCCACGCTGGCCTCTGAGGGAAACTATGGCGAGAGTGGTGTTGAGGCCTTTGTCCAGATCTCCAGAGAATCAGGTGGGAAACCTCAAGGTGCTGTCCCCTATGAACAGTCACTCTGAATGCTGTGGTTAAAGGATAATGCCAACGATTTTCTTTTGTTTATTTATTTTTTAACATGCCACAGAGACTAAAAGCCACAATAAATGTGTTGTATTCACTGTAATATGTGTGAATCCAGAGCTTGGCTTAGCTCATTGATCTGTGCCTCCATTGTTGTCCAGCAGCTATTAAAGACTCACCAATGAACCACACGGCTGCACTGGGTGACATGTTTGTTCCTCAGGAAAAATGTGAGGCTGGTTTGTTTTCAACAAAAAGCTCCGAAGACTGAGAACAGCCGTCACTTTTTAGTGTCTGAAGGAAGAAACGGTCACTGATCTCTGCTCATTTACACACTCTGCTAGCTCTTTGTGCTACACATGACAGTGGGCCTCGCATTTTTCCTGAGGAACAGACCTGTCACCCAGTGCAGCTGTGTGGCTCTCTGGTGGGTCAGAGCTCTACCGCACATGTCAGCAAGCTAAGCTGGACTCACACACACATTACGGCGTGTCGGCCTTGTCCTTAATGCTGGCCGTGCTCCCGCTCGGAGTACTCTGACGAGTGAACAGGAGGAGAGGACACGTGTTTGCCTCCTGGTGTAATTACAGCAGAGGTTCCTCAGATGGGCACTGAGGTTATCTGACCCAGCTCCTGTTGGTTAAAATTATTGTGTTATTGAGCTCTGACGTGAATGTTTGTTGGAGATAAATGGTGTGTGCAGTTGTTAGTTCAGGTTTGTGGCTCTGCTGGGTTTCATGGGTGAATCAGAGGCTGCAACCCTCCTCATCCTGTGTGGGAATCACCATCTTGCATTCAACAATAATCTAAGCATCAAACTACAGAGCGTGGAAGGAGCCATAACTAAGTGGTGATCAAAATATAATAATTCATGGCCTGGTATTAATAATTTGTGCTTTTCCTCTAGCTTAACTTTCCACTGTGTCCTGTTCTGCAGAAAATATTAACACATGCATTAGTCTAAGGTATGAAATGTGATTAACACGTAGAGCTGAGATATGAATCACTGTATTTATTATGTGGCTAGACACTGATGAGCATCATGCTACAGCTCAGGTTTCCTCTTCCAAACAACATCCATCCCTTCAGTCATTCCAGATGGCACTGGGCAAGTGACAGGGTCCACTCTGGACGGCCTGCCAGTCTGACACATAGAGACGCTCCCAATCACACCTACGGGCCATTTACAGCAGTCACTAGTCAACCTAACCTATGTTTGGACTGCGGGAGGAAGGCAGAGGAAACCCACCGTGTTGACAAAGAACAGCTCTGAATGAGTTTAGTCTATAAAAAAAACAACAAGCATATTGAAAATGCAATAAAAAGTGATTTTTCATCTCCTGCCTGACACACACACTCGTTCTCTCCATCACTGGAAACCTGATTACAACCTTCCCGCTGTAGTACTACATATTTACCTGGGCCTGCGACACTGCTGTAATCTCTGTGTAAATGGCAGCAGTAATCATGAAGAATAGCCACGACCGAGGCTTTTCAAGCCTCAGATTAATAACGAGGCGCTGTGCAGAGAGCAGCTGTGTCTCCAGTGTGGGATCGGTGAGCTTTCGTCTCTGCTGCTGAAGCTGTTCTCTGCGTGCGTGCGCAGACACACACGCTGCTGCACATGGCAATGTCTTCATTAGCAGTCTGAATATGTATAATGTCGACGGGACTGATCTGTGAAGCCTCTGAACTGCTGCAGGAGCCGCAGGCTGCACAATTCATGGACCAAACAGGCACCATAATCACAGAAGATGTATTGATTAGAGCTGATAGCTGATTAGCTGCTAATGAATAGATTTTTGGGAAGCACTTCTTAATTGAAAATACAGCTGCTTTGATTGAATTATCTTCCACTTTAGCTCGACCCAACAGAAGGCAGCCTTTTTTTTTAAACGTATTTAAACTCTTGGTGTGGAAAGTCCCAATGTGTCACAGGAATAACGAGCCTCATTAACCTCAGCCTCAGCTATGCCCTTTCACAGCTGTTTAACTGTTTAACGGCAGCCCTGTTCCCCCCTCTGCTGAGTGTCTGGCTGGATGCAGGTGGCTGTAAGATTCACAGACCTTCTGTTAATCCTTTTGGAGCTGTTGTGGACATAAAGGTGGTCAAGGTTGTGTAGGAAGGGCTTACAGCTGCCTCAAGGTATGATCAGCTTTGGCATAAATTTATTATAAGATGTGTGTTGGTCAGCTCTGTGTGTGTATAGTTGCTTTCAGTGTTCAGTGTTTCTCCTCTGTTTCATAAAAGAATCTGAGGTTGCGATTGGCTGCTGGTGACCACTTGCATGATGACACATTGTGGTCAAACTCTAAAACTGCGACAGCCACCACAGAGACATGACATGGAGACAGCATAAGCATAGAGGAGGGAGGTAGGAAAGGAAAGGAAGGAGGATGTAGAGGAAGATTTGAGATGATCAAGTAGGAATGAAAGAAGGAGGAGATAAAGAAGGAAAGCTCGAGGCAGTTAACGAGCTGGTGTCATCACCCTTTTTGGCCTGTTTTGTTTCCATGATACCGGCTCTTTAAGGAAAGGCGAGGTAATGGATGCTGATGGAAGATGGGAGGGGAGGCAGTAAAGGCAGCGGCAGAAGAAAACAGGCACATACTGAGTCAAATTGCTTCCTGTGTCCCCTGATCCAGCTGCTGAGAGGTTACCAGATGTTACTGATGCGTGTAACCCAAGGCCCACAGAGAGCTGCGCTAATGGCTGCAACATAATACAGGATCACTGCTGCTAGTCTCCATGACAACAGCCGCAGATCTCCCTGCAGCTCACTGAGCGGCTCGCAGACGAATGGCTATAAACACTGTGGTCTCCCCCCAGAGTTGAGCCCATCAACAGGTTAAGATGTGTGCGTCAACCTGCGGGGGGCGGAGCCCTGGACAGCTGACAGGTGGACTGAGCCTCTCCGCTGGCTGTGAGGTCGCCAGCTGCTCCCCTGGGCTGCTGGGACAGTAGTTTCACCTCAGCAAGTGAGTTCACACCTAACTCTAAGAGGACCTGGCAGAAGACTGCAGGAGTGTGTTTGTGTATAATGAAAGTGCTGACTTTAAAGGAACATTCCACTCATTTTTACACGTAAAGGTCCATTTACTGGTAATGCTTGTCCTACTCTCCCTGTGAACACTGGGTGCTGCTCATTTGTCCCATTGTTTCCCTCAGTTGCATCTTATCCTCTTTTCATTCTTCTTCAGCTCAGTGTGCTGCTGCATCTCTGCGTTGGTGGTGATGCTCCCAGTTCATCATCAGTGGGTGACACCTGGACCACAACTGTGTGGCACTTTGAATCCTGTTGGACAAAGTCCCAGTTACAGTCAGTGTCCTTGTGGTTCGCTCTGCCATGAGTCCAGGTGGGTTGACTCGGAGGTGGCTGTCTGCACGGGGTTAAGATAGTTGGTTTGTGCCGGGTCAGCTGGCAGACGACAGCAGTGCACCCCAGAGAGTCCGTGACCTCGCTGACGGGGGATGCAGTCACAGATTAAAGGAGCATATTATACATAATATCACTGCAAAAACAGTCTGTTTGTCCTCAAAGTTCCTCGTCTGAAGTTCCCCCTTCACACTTCAATACAAGTAGGAAATTAAATAATCATTTCCTCGGCTTGGTAATCCTGTTATCCACAGACTAAATATCTTTTCTTGTCCATTGCTTTTGAAGTCTTTGAACTCTTTCTACCATCAGCTGCAGGGTTTTTTCTCTGAGGCTTGAACTGAGCACAGACATTTAAACCAGCCTCTTCCCCCAAATCAGAAACAGCCAGATTCAAAGAGACAAGTTTTGTTTATGTTTACGGTTATTCTACATCTCGGTGGGGATGGTTTGCATGTCTCAAAAATTTTTCTTTGTGGTCATTTTGCATCTCCTTGCAGTTGTGCATGTGAAAAGCTTCAGTGGCATCTGTCGGCTGTTGCTGCAGCTTGTCTCAGAATTCCAGAGAGCTGCTTTTTTGTTTTTGTCTTTTGAGTGTCGTTTGCTGTCATCCCAAGGCTGAACAGTTCATGATAACCACAGCTGCTTCATGACAGGAGGAGCTCGGTGACAGGCTCTTGAATTTAAAACGTGAAAGCGCTAAAACCACCAAACAATGAAGGAATTAACACTGAACATGTCACCGATTCCACACCATCAAAAAATAGACAAATTTCCCCTGAGAACATTCATCCCACCTGCAGAAATTCATTTTAATTTCTAATGGAGAGTCTAAAGATACCAAGTATGTCAGACTGAATAATGAAAAAATGTGTCAGTTATTTATGAAGTTATTTATGGGTTAGAGGATTATGTCACTGTCCAGTAAAAATACTCAAGCATAACTTTGTTAAGAGCATCCAGGCCACTATGTAGAGAAATAACAGCTAAACCAGGGAGGTTTAATGTCAATAATATCTATGGGAAGAAAGACTGGGACTTTCACTGCAAGAACCTGGACACAGTAAGTAACAAAACCTCTCCCCAACTTGTAACTCCTTCACAGAAGGATGAACCACGAGCAGTAAACTAGCCAGAGAAGGACATTTCTGGATTTTTATTATCAGAAACTCAACTCTGAGAGAACTAAAGGACAAATTTAACACAAGACTGTAATAGTGGTGAACATGTTTTATTGAGTATAACAGAACTTTATTTATATATAATGTAGAGACTAGCTGAGAAAAGAGTAGAAAACACTGAAGTTACTATATTTTACAGGCAGGCTCTTGTGTGCTTAGAGTTCTCATTGGATCATTGACAAGATTCAGCCCATGGATGGATTAGTGAATGGACCCACCGGGCACAGGTCAGGGGCCCAAGGCATCAGGGACCCCTGGACCAAAGCGTCTGTGTGCAATGACTGGTAATATTTCATGTTATAAAGTCAATCAAATGACTACAAAGAGATACAAAACCAGTATAACAAGACACAGACTGACTACAAGAACATGCAGGTCGACCTCATAAGGCAAAAAC